TGCTGTTCCCGAGGTTGTCAGGGGTAGCAGCAGGCACTGGTACTGTGGGGTCATCTTGCCAGTTCTGATATACTTATTTGAATGGGACAGATTGCCTTATTCACATTTATTGTGATTGCTGCTACGTTCTGACTCCTATAATCTTCATTTGTGTTTTCTGTGAATCATGCTTCTTTTGTTTTCCCTCAGTCCCTTCTATTCCCCTTTCCTTTAACTGGATCAATGGCATTTTGTCGTTTATTTGTTATCAATGTTGTTTTGTTTGTCTTTGTATTCTCCTAAGTGTCATTTCTTTTAGTACTTATTCAGTCTTGTAATTTTTAACTTACCTATAAACTCTGAACATCGTCACTTTTTCTTTTTTAACATGTTTTTAAATGTATTTTATATATCTACCACAGTTTTTCCTCTCTCTCTCCCCCTGCTCCCTCCCTCCAACTCCCATCTACCCCCTTCCCATCCACTCCCCCTCTGTCTCCCCTCAGAAAGGGGCAGGCAGCTCATGGGCTTGAACAAAGCCTGGCCCATCAAGTTGAGGTGGGACTGAGCTCCTCCCCCTGCATAAAGGCTGGGCATCCACAGATCTTAGATTTAGCTCCAGTTCAACCTCATCCTTACTTACTCTCCGTTACGCGTCTGCTAGGTTTTTGTTTGTTTGTTCAATGTTTAGTTCTGTTTCTTCTTTCCTTCGCTGTAACTTTTGCTTCTTGTTGGCTGCAGACAGTGTGGATTCACATTTACTCACAGGGTCACCACTCACCGCGAGGAAAATGCTCTCTGCAGACCACTTCTTCTTCTGAGGTTCATTTCCTTCCTTTCTTCATGGTTTTTTAAAAATTGAGGCTTGATCTTCACACACACAAAAAAATAGTAACTCCCCAGTTTGCAATACTTCTTTGGATGGAAATTAAATTCTGGCTTGCTAGTATTTTTCTCCAACACTTTGGGAGTGATGCTTCATTTTCTCCTGGCCTCTATTGCTGCTGAGGAGTCTGGGATCAGATCAACTAGTCTGTCTTTTCTCAATAATTGGTAATGCTGTTTGTTCGTCTGAAAACCTTCAGCTTGTGAGTATGGAAGTGTACACTCAGTATAATTGCGTGAATTAGCTACATTTCTTGACTCTGGAAATCCGTGTCCGTCCCAGTTTGGAAAAACCATCTAATCATGTCTTTTTTTAGATATTTCCCTCTGCCCTTGTATCTAGTCTTGCTTTCTGTGTCTTGCGACAAGCATATTGCATTTTTCATGCTCATTTCCATCTGTCTTGATCTCCTTTGCACACTGTCTTTCTTTACTGCCTCGTAATGAATTCCCCAGACGTGCTCTCACTTCCTTAAGTCTATCTCCAGCTATTTAAAAAGCTTAAGTGTTTCACCAAGTATTGCAATGAGTCAAGTTTTCACTCTTTTTATAATGATTTCCTTTCTTTCAAAAGTGTCTTCCTAAAAGGTCAGTTTCTTAAAGAAGATGAGCTGAATGCAATATGAACAGAACATAAATTAAATCTCAACTTGCCCACTGAACTTCACTGCCCTTTCCACTGCTCTGAGAGGTTCTAATCATCACTAAGTAAGTGAGCATCTTGTGATTAGTTTTAGAAAAAACGATCTGCCTTATTTTAGAACTGTAATGTGCCACTTACGATGATCATAACACCCCTGAATTTCACCCAGCATTAAAATTTCTCTCGTTCCAATGCTTGGGTTTTCCCGGCTAGGAAGTCTAAAGTGTCAGAGAGGCATCTGGAGGTTTGGGGCTTCTTTTTCTTGCTTGAGACTGTATCCACTCCTTAGACATCGTAATACAGCGATATTATCTACACAGTTCATACTCAAGGACTGTGCAATTGAGGTACAAATCATAATTGCAAAGGCTTCATGATGTTTTGGATGAGTTTGCGTACCATTTTGTGTTGGTCACATTTACAGCTACCCCGGGGTGCATGTGATCTGGGTCTGTGGTTTGCACGCACACGGAGGAGGTATAGTGCTGTTTGATACCATCTTGACTGACTTTGAATCGTTGGTCCCGTGTATTCAGTTGCTGTGTCTTTCTCCCACAAGAGACTTTTCTGGACTTCTCACCATTTACTCACCTCACCCCAGGATCAAGATACTGGACGTTACCCTCAGGGGATAATATCTCGTTTGTAGAGAGTAGCTCACCCCTTCCTGTTCACAGGGGGGTTCATACAGTGCCCCCTCAGGAATCGTTTTGCCCTCGAGAAGGACCAAGAAGGACTCTGCAGCAAAGCCTCCTTCAAGCCTGTTTCAGGCTGACAGAGCTTCATGGAAACACTAACCTCTGTGAGTCCCCAAGTGACAGCATCCTGCACTGTCTCTGCAGATGTGTCCCCACCACTGTGTTCTGCTGTCTCATAAACACATGCTGGTCTTATACCCACACAAAGACCAAGACAGCACATCGTCCATTTCAACCCTCTGTAGTTCACAGACAAGGTCTGACAGCCTAGTGGAGTGCAGACCCTTGGCCCCACCGCCCAGACACACTGTTTAAGAATCTGCTTGCTCGGTGACCAGTCTTTTGTGACATTGTATAAAAGAGATGAAATCACATACTGTACACTGGCTCATTCCTGTTTCTCTTCAGGACAGAGTCCCACAGATTTTTCATTATGTCTGGTTCACAATATTTGCTGAATTCTCTTGTGATATCTTTGTTGGTTCATGGCTTATGATATGTATGAACTTAACTTCCAAATATCTGGTGATTTTCTAGATCCCTAGATTGCATTTTCACTTTACTGCAAATTTGGTCAGAGAATAATTTTAACTCTTAGGTGTATTGAAAATCACCTTGTGATTCAAAATGAGGTGTATTTTGATGATTACTGCATGTACATGTGTTTTGGTGACTGTTTTCATGTGTGTGTGTGTGTGTGTGTGTGTGTGTGTGTGTTTTGTAGTTGATACTGTTTCATGAATGCAAATTAGGCTAAATCAAGTATTCTATAAGCTGATTTTTGCCTACTTTTACTATCAATTTCTAAGAAATGCCTGAATCTCTGATCTTAGTTACAGGTATTTTATTTCTCCCATGCATTTTGAAAGTTTGCTATTTGATGAGTTGATCCTTTTGTTATCGATAAATAACATAGAATTGCTCTGGTAATAAGGTCATTTAAAATTATTATTTCATATCAATTCTTTTAACTATCATTGCACTTGAAAGTAAACACTATTTATAGTTGTGAAGACAGTGAAATTGGGTGAAGTTTAATTAGTGAATATTGTAGAAGACATTCAGGGACTTTGTCTCTTTCTTTCTTTCTGTTTGTTTTTCAAAACAGGGTTTCTCCGTGTAGCCCCGGCTGTCCTGGAACTTGCTCTGTAGATTAGTTAGCCAAATCTGAGAAATCTGCCTGTCTTCCAAGTTCTGTGATTAAAGGTGTGTGCCACTATGCCTGGTGACACTGCGACTTTTGAGTGTGGCTGTGAGGATTAGGAATCATAGTTATACTGTGCATGCCTATAATCCCAGTACTTGGGAGGCAGAGGCCAGCAGATCTTTGTGTGTCCAAGCACAGCTTGGTCTACAAACTGAGCTCCAAGACAGCCAGAGCTGTTACACAGAGAAAGCTTGTCTTGAAAAAGCCAATAAATAAATAAATTAAAAAATAAAAAGAAACCATAATCACTTTAAGTAGTATTTCTATGATAAAGCACTATAACAGTTTTTTTTCTTTTCTGGTTTTCATTTTTGTTATTTGTTTATTCTCAAATACACAGATCATTATGCTTCTCATTAATTTTTTTACTCCCCCCATTATGATTTGTCTCCACTAGTTCTGGTCTGATCACAACACAACATACACAAACTAAGCCACATATAAGTAATTAAAATGAAACTAAGACTTGAGTCTCCTAGAAAAGCTTCTATTGTAGCAAGGTAATTTATAATGACATGTGTTTTTTTGTTGTTGGTAATAAGAAAACTATTAATAATAACAAAACAAAGCATAAAATCATATGATACCACTGTTTCAATGTATTATTTTCAATATTTCAGAATCCCACTTTATTTGATTTTTATTTCAATTTTTTTACATAAAAAAGGACACAAGAAAACCCTGCTTATCCGTTGACTTCAGTTTCAAATGAGTCAACCCTGCATAGTAAGCGAACCGAAGAGCAACAGCTCAAATTGTTTTCATAGTGTATTCAGGTTAGTCTGCTGTGTTACTATTCGAATTACACAAGAACATTAAATATTAATTTGGCCAGGATCCATCAGATCTAACCTCAAAAACAAATCAGTCTCAGAGACAAGGATGTCAGGATCACGTTACAACTTTCTGTTGCAAAACAAGGAAAAACATTGAGTACATAGAATGCAGAAACTCTAGCAGGGTTTATTTACAAGTATTTCCTTTTTCTCTTTTTGGGTTTACCAGGATAAATATTTGCACAGCTGAAGCGTTGCTAGTAGCAGGTTCTTGTTGACCGCCTCAGGCAAGGCAAATATCTAGTCATAGCTTGAGTATGAGGTTTGGGGGAAGACGGCTCATTATATAATGTATATGCTGCTGTTGTATGAGGTTTGGGAGAAGACGGCTCATTTTATAATATATATGCTGCAGTTGTCCACACATGGATTAGGTTTTGAGTGAACTCCTAGTAGCTTGTAGTCATTAGCTATCTCAGTCTTTCTTTGAGTTTTTTTGGTGTGATGCACACACTTCATAGGCTGAAACCCAACGCTATTTTTGCTACCCTAGAATCGCTCTTGTGTCTCTTATTTCTATCACTGACATGCTTTGTCATTCTAGGCAAACTGAGAAAAGTTCCGCAGCAGCAGTCCCATCCCATGTTCTGCGTGTCGTGGCTTCCAAGTTCTGAAGTGACTTTGTAGTGGGCAGTGCCGGCAAGCGGCAGATGGGGTTGTGAATGGCGCGTCCCGTCGTTCTGGGGAGGCTCTTCCGGTTCTCTGGGGAGGCTCTTCCGGTTCTCTGGGGAGGCTCTTCCGGTTCTCTGGGGAGGCTCTTCCGGTTCTGGTCCCGTCTGCACTGCATCTGTACTGGAATTTTCCCAGTCTTCATTGGCAGCAGGTGGCTGTCTTCTGTGCCGCTTTCCATCATTCCAGGGACCCACAGAAACCCGAGGCGGCGGGCTGTCTCCCGTGGGTCTGGTCTGCCACGTTGCCAGGTCCCGCAGTGCTAAGCCGCCAAACACAGGGCCACAATGCGTCCTGCAGGAGCTGCAGTTGGAGGCAGGAGCTGCAGTTGGAGGTCAGGGCACACTTCTCCCTCTCTGTCTAGTCAGGATGTAGTGGTCTGTGTCACGATGACCAGTGTTTCCCAAATCTTAGTAGTTGAGGAAGTCGGTTCAGCGCCCCATGGGTTCCATGGCCTCTTCATTCCTGAATTTAGGCAGGAGTTGATATAGCTGCTGTGGGATTAAAGGAAAACAGAATAAAATGAGCCCTGTGTAGGTTAATAAGGCTCACCCCCCCACACACCTTTTGCCACAGCAAGTCAGATGGGGGAAGCTTGACTTTATCCCAGGACACAGAGAATATATTAAAACACGATCTACCATATGACTCCCGAGTTCCTAATGAGGGGGGGTGTCAGTCTCTTAGGTAATTGGCGGTGAGGTGTTAGTGGTCCCGTGGCCACAGTTTTTATGATGAAGGAAGCTGTCTGGGGCCCAGGGAAGACAGTTGGCCTTTGGATTAAAGCCATGGCCTTTGACGATCTGGAGAACTGGATTTTGCAAACCATGGACGGACCTTGTTTTATTTAAGAGTTGTTTTTTTTTTTTCTCCGCTGGAGTTGGGGCAGTCTCCCCGTAACTTAGCATCTGCGGGTGTGTTTGTTTTGGTGTTTTCCCTTGGCTTGGTGGGGCCAGAAGCGTCCTAGGGAAGCAAAAGATAGGCAATCAAAGGAAACTACTTGTGAGCTCCTCACCACTGGGGAGCAGTGAAGTAGCTGCCAAGATAAAGCCCCCATGGGGGCCGCTGTCTGGGGGAGTTTCTGAAGCACGCTTCCCTTGGTGGTTCATCTCTGGTTCACAGTCACCAAGGCTGACTCATCTGTGAAGAATCATGCCTTTGGGGAATCACATGACAGGGCCTCTCGTCAAACACAGGTGTGTAACACCAGTGCTCAAGGGGCATTTGAGTGAAGTCTGACCAGAAGTTCAACGCAGGGCCTGGTTTCACCAACAATCTAAAAGGCAGCAAGTCATCGCTTCCTCAAGGGACGGTTTCTCTTCATGCAAAGGGCTGGGTTCTACCCTGACTCTTTACAGTGCTCTAGTTTTCTTTGTAATTGTCTATGTTTGAAAAGGAGTGACTATATTTGTTTGGAGTTCACCACTCTTGGGGAAACCTAAAGAAAATCGTATCTGTATTCATCTGGAGAAAGCGGGAAGGGCCTCAGAAAGGAGTCCAGCTTGGAGAACCAAGGAGTTTCCTAGGATTTCTAGTAGGAGCAAACGGGACTGAAAGGCAGCTCCACTGGGAAGTCCCCTGTGCAACCAATAGGCAGCTGCACCACAGGAAAATTCCCTCCCCAAGCCAACCATTCCCTTCTTTTATCATTTAATAAACCCAGGGAAAGGAGATTCTCAGGCAGAGCTCATCCAGACTGGTGAGTCCCAGGGATCTTATGAGCTCCCTTCTTCTCACAGGGGCCTGTAAATGGGCACAATCCCATGATTCCATGAGGGTGGCAACAGCTGCTGATTCATGTACAATCTTCAGGAAACATCTATACAACATCCATCCATCCATCCATTGGTACACTCACACACACTCACACATACACTCACACTCACACACTCACACATGCACGCACACACACACTCTCACACACACTCTCATGCACTCACATTCACGCACTCACACACACTCACACACGCTCACACACACTCACACACACTCATACTCTCACACACTCACACACACTCTCACACACACACTCACACACACACTCCCATCTCTGAATTATATCAGTTCACACAAGTGGGGCATTGACTTGCTGTTCATTCGAAAACCACATGATAAAAACCAAACAAAACTGATTATATAGTTCTGTATTCTGCCTTTTTAAATATCATATGAAAGGATAAATATAATCCTTTCATAATCTGTTCTAGGGAACATGATTTTTATGCCTGTATACTAGAGTTTTCTGTTGATGAACAGAAATATATTCAAGCAGTTCCCCACAGCGGTTTTCATTTGTGTTGTTTATAGCATATCAATTATGTATGTCATCCTGGAATGTTTACACATACTTTAAAGCCTTCATGAGTCTGTAGTGGAGGTGTCTGGGATAATGCTGAAATGTTAAATGACACAGTCAAATGGTGTGGACATGGTTAGATTTCTTGATAATGTCCCAGTTTCCTCATATGTCAACCTCATAAGTTATAACAGTGTATCATTATTATTTTATACATGTATGTATGTGTGTAAAAAGATGTCAGAGAAACAATGCTTCCCTGCCACTTCCAACCTTCCTTTTGAGATTATTGGATTTCTGGGCTTACTTAAACACAAAACAATTATTTTCTATTTTGTTCTTGTGTGTCTGTCAAGGAGAAGTTAAAGCCTTGGTTAAAGTATTAACACCTAAGTTCCCCATTTTTCTGAGTGAGTGTGCAGTTCTGGGTGTCTGTTGATTGTCTGGCATCATCAGAGGCCTTGGGAGGCAGCCTTAAGAACAATAAAAAGCACTTTCTTTGCTCCAGGATTTTCTTCTAGTCCCTGGCTTCTATTCTTAAAACTTCCATCCTGTGACAGTGACCACAGAGACACTTAGTTGACACTGACCGTAAGGCACAGCCCACTTAAACATGCACCTCAGAGAAAAAGTAATGTCCTGCAATTTACCCACCAGAATCATCAAACTAATTTTTGCTCCCACCAGCAGTGACTCAAGTCACACATTCCCTGTAAATTTTAGTCAGTGGTGGGGAGCCTCCATAATAATAATAAAAACCTTTTGCCAGTCTCTACAGTATTCCCCGTGGCTAGAAAAAGGAGCCTGCCTAGAGATCCATCAGCAGATAAATGTAGAAAGAAAACAGGTAGATGCGGCCACATGATGGGACTTTCTTCTGCTGTAACGAACACCAAAAGCATGGCACCTGCCTGAAGCTGGATGGACCTGGAAATTATGGTAAGCAAAGTCTCTCACACCGAGAAAGAAGTACCACATATTTCCTCTCAGCGTGGGTCCTAGATTCTAGTTTTTGCGTATGTAGTGGAGCGTAGGTCGTGAAACTACCGCATGATAGGAAAGCAAAATGGGGACTAACAGGAAGTGAGGCGACCCATGGGAGGAGCGAGCGTAGGGAGGCGGGGCAAGAGGAGTGGGAGAGCAGGATCTGTAGACAGTGAGGTTGCACGTGTGTAACGAGGCCCGCATCAATCCGTATGCTGATTAAAAGCATGTCGATTAATTAATTGTCAGTTTGGAAGCTAATACGTAGCCTCTCATTTTAGTTTTTACTTCTTTTACAGTGAGACCTGCTGACACATATTTTCGACCACTTTTCTTCCAGTTGTTGGTATACTTGACTAATTTTGTTTTGATATTAAATTCTTAACTATCAGAAGCTCTTGGGGCTGGAAGGATGGCTCAAGAGCACTTACTGCTCTCCCAGAGGACACAAGTTCAGTTCCCAGAACAGGCTCTCAAATGCCTATACTTCCAGCACCAGGGATCAGATGCCTCCCAAGGGCACATGCACACACGAAACACACTAATAGAAAGGAAATCTTTTTAAAAATTGTCGGGGTCTGAGAAATGGCTCCCCAGTAAAATGTGCTTGTTGCCCTGGCAAAGGACCCCAGCGTGGTTCTCAGAACCCACATAGGGCAGATCACAACTGCCTTAACTCCAGTTCCAGGGGACTCAGACCCCTCTGGGCCCCACAAGCACCTACAGTTATGTGTTTACATTCACACACACATGCACAACACAGACACACTCACACACCCAGACAGACAGACAGACACACACACACACACACACACACACACACACACACACACACACAGCAATAAACTAACAAGATTATAGGAGTCGCCTACATGTTGCTCAATAGATCACAGACAGACAGACATTTAACAACAAACTAGCAATGTTTTAAGAGTTCCCTATGTGCTGCTCAATAGATCACAGACAGACAGACCACACACACATACATTCACACACATGCACACACATGCACACACATTTAACAATAAACTAACAAAGTTTTAGGAGTTCCCTATGTGCTGCTCAATAGATCACAGACAGACCACACACACACACATACACACACACACACACACTCACACACACACATGCACACACATTTAACAATAAACTAACAAGGTTTTAGGAGTTCGCTGTGTACTGCTCAATAGACTCCATAGGAAATGTGCTGATATTTCAGCTACCATCTGCTGCAGATAATCTTCTCTCCTACTCCTCAGTCTGTTATTTTAAAAACTGGAATTATTTTTTAAGCTTATTTTTCTCTCATACATTACATTGCAACCTGACCACAATTTTCCTTCTCGTCTCCATATTCCCCAAACCCCCATCCACGTCTCCTCCATTTCTCTTCTGAAAAGGGCAGGCCTCCCATGGACATCAGCCAAACAAGGCGAATCAAGTGGCTGCAAGACTGGGCATCTCCCCCTCCTACTAAGGCTGGATGAGGAGACCCAGTGAGAGGAAGCATATCCCAGAAGCAGGCAAAGGAGTCAGAGACTGCCTGCTCCTAAGAACACCAAGCTACACTTAACATACATACGGAGGGAGGGCCTAGGTCAGTCCCATGCAGGCTCCCCGGTTGTCAGCTCAGTCTCTGGGAGCCCCCATGAGCTCAGGTTAGTTGACTCTGTGGGTTTTCTTGTGGTGTCCTTGACCCCTCTGGCTCCTACGATTCTTCCTTCCCCTCTTCTGCAGGGTTCCCAGAGCTCTGCGTAATTTTAGGCTGTGGGTCTCTGCATCTGCTCCCATCAGTGGCTGGATGAAGTTTTTCTAATGGTGATTATGCTAGACTCCCACCAGCAAGTATAGTACAATATCATTAGGAGCCATCTTATTGACAAAATAGAGTTATTTTTGTTACACACACACACACATATATGTATATCTTTGTATGTAGTAAAGTCAATGACTGTTTCCTGTGATGTTATACCTTGATGTTATTTTTAAGAAGTTATTTCAAAACTTAAAATATTAATATTTTTCTAATGTATCATGACTGTTTGACAAATTATCTTTTAAAGTTTGCATTTATTTTATTTATGTGTATGTATCTGTATGTGTTTATGTCATTTGCTTACAGGTATCTAAGTAGGCCAGAAGGGGGAATTAGATCATCTGGAGCTGGAGTTACTGGTGGTTGTAAATTGTTTTTCACAAGGGCTGGGGACCAAACTACAGACTTCTAGAAGAGCAGCAAGCGCTCCTAACTGCTACACATCTCTCTGGGCCCTGCTGAACCCATTCTTTATGCCTGTGAACCTTATTGTGGTAAAGATCGGTCCCTTCCCCCATCAATGACTTGTATCAGCATCAGGGTCATCTTACTTTTGTTGATTTAAAATGCCAACCCTGTCAAATACAAATATCTTTATCTTCAACAGGATCTGTAAGCAGCCTAGCTATTACTTTTTAAATCATTAATTTGAGAACCTGTACAGTACATTATGGTCATATTCACCCCTTCCCCAACTCCTTCCATTCTCCCTTCCCTCCCATGTTGCACAAAATTTCCTTGGTCTTAATAATAAAAACTTGGAGCCAGTTATCAGGAGGTGAAAGCTGGAAGATCAGAGAAACAGAGGCAGCCACAAGAGCTCTCACCTCTACCAGTGCTCAAACCAAAGTGGCGATCCTGTCCTCAGACTGCATCCTTAGACTGCATCTCAGACTGCATCCTCAGACTGCATCTCAGACTGCATCCTCACACTGCATCTCAGACTGCATCTCAGACTGCATATCAGACTGCATCCCCAGACTGCATCTCAGACTGCATCTCAGACTGTATCTCACACTGCATCCTCAGACTGCATCTCAGACTGCATCTCAGACTGTATCTCAGACTGCATCCTCAGACTGTATCTCAGACTGCATCTCAGACTGCATCTCACACTGCATCTCAGACTGCATCTCAGACTGCATATCAGACTGCATCCTCACACTGCATCCTCAGACTGCATCTCACACTGCATCTCAGACTGCATCTCACACTGCATCCTCAGACTGCATCTCACACTGCATCTCACACTGCATCTCACACTGCATCTCAGACTGCATCTCAGACTGCATCCTCACACTGCATCCTCACACTGCATCTCAGACTGCATCTCACACTGCATCCTCAGACTGCTGCCTCTGCCTGCCCTGAACTCCTGTGTCTTCCCACCTTATATTCCTCTCTCCGCTCAGCCATATCCCTTCCTGTCTCCAACTCCTTAGTGCTGGGATTAAAGGCATGTCACTCCAAGTGCTGAGATCACCTTTGTGTGAGCTCTTTCTCTTTTAGCCTGGATCAATTTCATGTAGCCCAGGGTGGTCTTGAACTAACAGAGCTCTGTCCACCTCTGTCTCCCTGAGTGCTGGTATTAAAGGTGAGAGCCACCATTGCCTGGCCTCTATGGCTAACTAGTGTGGCCAGCTTTGCACTCTGATCTTCAGGCAAACTTTATTTGTTAGATCACAAACAAAGTATCACTACATTCCCACCCAACATTGTGTCCTCTTTCGTTGATATTTTTACATCCATCAAGTCCATATTGTGCTCCCCGTGTGTTCTCAGATATGTGGCTTTCCACTGGGCATGGTTTGACTTGCTGTGGGCTACAGTCTTGAAACAAACTGATTCCCTCTCCCTCCCGTCACCTACCAATGCTCCCACCTCCTTAGCTGGGGGTGGAGCTTCATGCCCACCTCCCTCTCTATGCTGGGATTTTGTCTGACTAGAGCTTGCACAGATTTCATGCATAGAGTCTCAATGGCTGCGAGTTCTACAAGCGACTGCTCTGCTCTGTCCAGAAGATGCTGCTTCCCTGTAGAGATTCACAAACTCTGCCTCTTACAGTCTTTCTCCTCTATCTCCTGCAATGATTGATCTCTGTGCCCTGGGAGGAAGGGGTGTGACCCAGCAGTTTCTCGTTCTCTGCACTTGACCGGTTGTAAGTTTCTGTATTTTATGCCATCTACTACAAGTAGAAGCCTCCCTGAGAAGTTCCAATGGACTCGGTGTTGTGGCCCGGGGCCTTGTCTCTCTGTTCTTGCTTCAGTGTCATACTGTTTTATCTGTTGACTAAGATGACTGCGTAGTTCAGCAAGCAGATAAATGCTTTTTGCAGGTGATTTATGCTCGGATAACAGGAGAAAACCTGGATTGTCTTGGGCAAACTGGTGCATTGTAGGCCACGCGATGTAGGGTGGTTTTATGATGTAGTTTCACATTGGATACCACAAAATTCTCCTCGTTACTCTCTTTCAAATCGGTCTCTTCCGGGAACAAAGCTAGGTAGAGTGAAGTGGTGTTCAGACAGCCACGGATGAAGTTTTTACTCCATATGTAAATAAAGTTCTGTTTCCTACGAAATGCAGTTTCCTCAACCTAAATGGGCATATGTTCATCTTGACTTCTGAGTGTGGGGCATGTACGGTCACATCTATGATTTTCTCTTTGAGCTGGCTAGCACAAGGCTGAGATGTCCCGCACAGGGCCACCTACTCTGCTTACACTGTCACATCTTCCTCCTGGCCTCCCATGTTCTTAACTGCTTGCTTAGTTTTTCCTCTACCAGAACCTTCTACCTAACTATGGTTTCAGGTACCACTTACCTCTTCCCCTTTATGCTGGTCCATTTTCTCACACATCTGCCTCCTGCTGGAGGCCATCCTCTTTTCTGATTAGTCCAGGGCAGTGAATTTCAACATAGCCTCAGTTCAGATTGTTCCCAAAATGAGCGGCGTGTGAATTCTTGCCCATATGATAGACAGAGGAACACGGGCCTCTTCCCATGAGCCAGGCAGGAAAGTCCTTCTCAGATCCCATGTTGTTCCTCTCCACGGCCAGGGGCCACTGCTGTTGTTTATCTAGTAACCGTTAATATCCGACTTATCTTGTAGCACTCCATTATAGCATGAGGATGTGTGGGATGGAGGGGGTGCAGCTCCCTCAAGGCTGCAATCCACCGCCCTCCCTGCCTTCCTCTATGAAGCAACGCTGCAACCCGTTGCTTTCCCGGGGATGTAAGAAGACAAGGAAGCTGTTCAGTGAGTGTTTGTTTAAAAGGTTTTTGAATGACTTTCCAGCCAGTAGCCACCGTCATGCTTGCCATTTGTGGTATGAGTTTTAATTTGTTTTTGCTAAGTGGTACTAATTTCAATTTGTTTTTAACTAATAGAAACACTTGGTGAAGACGTGAGGCATCCCTGATGCAACAAGGACTTAAAGAAGAGACTAGTGGCTAATCCTTGAACTTCATCTCAAGAGGCTGTGCTGTTTTGTTTTGTTTGGGGGGAGGTGCATTGTCTTCTCATTGTATCCTGTTCCTGTCCAGGTCACCACCGCCACTGTCTAGCCGAGTCACTCTGTGCCTTCCCTTCATGCCTGACCCCATTTGCTAGGAGCTGGGGCATAGGTCACCCCGCCCCTTTCCCTGCCTCCCCTCTGAAGGGTTTCTTGCCAATGCTAGCCACAGCCAACCCCACAGGAGCAAGGTTCTCCTTTGCAAAGTTCATAGAGTCCCCGGGCTACGGTACAATGTTTCCAAATTTGCTGCTAGGTTGTTTGCAGCTGGGAGCAGATTTTCTAATCTAAGGGAGGTTGGGAGTGGAGTTGACATTTTTTTTCTTAGTTCAGCTTACAACAGTGCACCAGCTTGATATTTGTGATTTTTTTTTTTGTGGAGTAAAGGGACCCTAAGTGTTGATGTTTGAGACTTTTTGCATCTACCACATCACCCTTGGGCATCTTGGTTTGTGAGTGGCCTGCTTACCCTTTTTATTCAATTCTTATATGCCATGTGCAAGCTTCCTTCTTATTATCGTAAACATACAATATTTCTCTAATATTAATTTAGTAAATTGTGTCCCTCTATCCAGTTCAAATGCAACATACCACAGTGACTTGCTGAATTCACAGACAAAATAATAATAGATCACCACATGTGCTGACCAAAATCTAGCCATATCCCTGCGACTGCCTGAGGCCCATGAGGCTCTCACTGTTTAAGGGCTGAGCTACAATGGGTGAATAGAGCGTAGTTAAAACACTGTCTTCAGAGATCACAAATCTGTTGTTTTTTTTTTTAATTGTGTGTGTGTGTGTATGTAAGTTGGGTCCCCAGGAACTGGAAATACAAAGAATTTTGAGCCATGTGATGTGGGTGCTGGGAACAGATCTCAGATCCTCTGGAAAAGCAGGAATACCTCATGGCCACCTGTCAGACCCATTGTCCCTCATGATCACAGAGATTCTGAGAGACTGTCTCCTAGAAGGTGGTTTCATTCACTCATTCATTCATTCATTCATTCATTCATCCATCCCCCCACCCACCCACCCATCCATCCATCCATCCATCCATCCATCCATCCATCCATCCATCCATCCATCCATGTGTGTGGGGGTGTGTGGAGGCAGAGGTTGACCTTCAGTGACTCCCTCGCTCGCTCTCCACCTTGTGTTCTGAGAAAGGGTTTCCCACTGAACCTGGAACTCACCAGTGAGCCAGACAGGCCCGCCCGGCCAGCAGGCCCCAGGGATGGATCTGATCCTCCTGTTTCCTGTTTCCACCTTTCCAGCCTGGGGCTTGCAGATAGCTCTTTACGTGGGGGTTGAGGATCAGACGCAGGCTCTCAGCCCGAGCCGAACCCACACTCTCGACACGTCCCAAGTGTCTGAGGCTCAGTAGAAAGGACTTTTACCTCACAGTATCTTCTCGAAAATTTACCAGGAAACAGGTGTGACCCGGATTTTGTTTTCCAGCGCTAAGCCTTTAGACTCTTGCTTTCCCCTGCACCGGCTTTGCCAAAGGTGGGTCGGTTTTGAAAGACTTATCTAGGGCTGTTCACTGCGGGAGGCCAAAAGAGACCCCCACGAGAAGCTTAGATATGCCTTGTTTCCTGCTGTAACACAAAGGTGAGTGTTTCTCGCCTCTCGGATTGCCCGGACTCTAGGATGACTTTGGGGTGCAGGCTTTAGGGTCTCAGGTCTGGCCCTGGCAGCGAGCCTGCCTCACACAGGTGGTGGTCTTCTTGGATAGTAAGCTTCCCAGCTGCCACCTCTGACTCTTATCTTCCCTCATAGAGGAGAGAGGATCAGAGCGATGTGCTTCAGTCCCGGGATCCCTCCGAGGTTAGCCTCTCTTTGTAGGACCCTGGTTGCTACTGGAATTTAGGAAGCCTTTGGTGGCCTCTCCCATCGCCCTAGGTCCCTATCCTAGCTTCTGCAGCGGGCCTCCCTGGGCAGCAGGGCTGTCTGCCGCCCGGATCCGATCCGAGCCTGGCCGGCGGGGGGAGCTCTCCCGTGGGAACTAGCAGACGCACCGGCCCGGCGGGCGGGACCGGGCCGCCCCTCCACCCCCACCCCCTTGCCTGGCAAAGTTGCCCGGGACTCCAGGCGCGTCGCTGCGGACGCTGGAGAGCAGGCGCTCGGCTCTGCCGGCCCCGCGTCCTCCGCCGCTGTCGGGCCGGAACCCGGTCGCCCGGTCGAGCTCTCCCCCGAGGGCATGCGGCAGCCGCGGGACACTCGGCTCCCAGGCTCGGCGGCGCGGGCGAGCGAGCGAGAGCGGTGAGTGCGGTGCGCGGCGCGGGAAGGGGACTCCCGGCAGGGGCTTTTTCGGGGTTCTCCGGTCTCCAGTCCTCTCCAAACTCCCGGGGACGGAACTTTCCCCGCCGTGTGTGGCGTACCCTGCCCTTTCCCACTTCGTGTTTCCCAAGAGCAAAAATCAATGCGGACGCAAAAGCCCCAAAGCCGGGCTGCATCGGCCTTGGCCGTGGGCTGGTGGGCTGGTGGGCAGGGTGCAGGGGCACCGGCTCCACCTAGCCTCGCTTTGCAGGGGCGCTTCTTTCCAAACTCGGTGGAGTCTGTGTGGTGATGAGAAGTGGCTTCTCCCCGTGGTGATGAGAAGTGGCTTCTCCCCGGGAGTCCTGGGAGGTGGCATTTTCCATCTTACAGTTTCCTTGGTGTGGTCTGTCTGTTGGTAAAAACGCGAGCTGAGTGCAATCCTCTCAGGATTTGGGAAATACTTACTCTGACCCGCTCTGACCAGTTGTGAGGGATGAACCAAAGGTCTCTGGGATCCCCTTCGCCACGGGGACAAGAGTGCTTTGTTTTTGTATCAGTTTCTTCGTTGCCTTCTCTGTGCAAGTTGCGCTATGGCTATCAGAAATTGCTTAGAATTTTCTCAGGCTTCTGATCCGAGGACTGACTGAATTTTGCCAACAATTTAGTCTTATTAACATGATCATGGAAAGGGCCCTCCAAAGCACTTAAGAGGTCAATTTGTAAATGGAATAATTTCCCCCAAACGCTCCCCTCATAATTTGCTTCTGCCATTGTAACAGTTTTGTCCTGCCCAACTCTTCATCTTGGAATGTCACATTAGCAGTAAAAGACTCAACTTTTCAGGGTTTCCCCCTTGTAGTTTGTAAATCTGAGAATAAAGTGAATGTCGTCCTAGTCAAACTCTTTGCAAGCCGGTGAACGTTGCATACACGCCCAGACTTTCCTTTTTTTTTTTTTTTTTTTTCCGGAGACAGGGTTTCTCTGTATTGTTTTGGAGGCTGTCCTGGAACTCACTCTGTAGACCAGGCTAGCCTCGAACTCACAGAGATCCACCTGCCTCTGCCTCCAGAGTGCTGGGAATAAAGGCGTGCACCACCAACCCCCGGCTTTTACTCAGCCTTTCCTTAATGCAGAGCACCTGAGTTGCTGAAGAGAGTTCTCGGGTTTACTCTCTGCTAGTGGTTGTCAATCTTGCTAACAGTGAGGTTTGGGTTCAAACCTGTACGATGGTTCAAGTGAGCCCAGGGAACCAGGGACTAGATCTCCTTTCCCACTTCTCCCAGGAATGATGCGGTCTGAACAGGCATGGCTCAGTTAATACAGTTTGCCTAAGCAAACTGGGCTGTTCTAAAACGTTCAGCTAGCAAACCCTGCCAGTTAGGTGGGTCTTATGCCTTGAGACCCATGTGACCCTGGACATTTAACCATAGGAACAATATTTGCACTGTAATACCACATAGCCAGTGGAAATAGATTGTTTAGTAATTTTTTCCTATTAATTTTTTTCTATTCTTCAGTATTCAAAACCTTGATGCTTTCTTTGACTTAGTGACAAATTACACTCTTCTAAATTTTCCCAAATGCATTCAGCAGTTGCAGATCTTTATATCAGATCAGGTCTATTTGATCTTCATAAGATGTTTAACAGAACTGATGTGCTCTCTGAGCACACAGGCAGAGAAGGTATGTACATACAGTAGAAGAGCCGGGTAGCGAACACAGCTAGTTCTCTGGAAATTGAGTCCTAATGCCTTAGGGTGGCTGCTTCTTCCCAGCTTTCTCCTGAGGACCAGCAGCTGCCATAGCTTAAGCCAGCCCCTTATTTCTTTGGGCTGGGGCAAGGGGAAATCACTATAACTCCAGTATGAATTGCTATAACTCAAATGACCCATTAGTCACTTAGTCACTCTCCTTGGTGTATACATTAGTTCAAATGCTTTCTGGCTTATGATTATACCCCACAAAGCGGTTAAGTCTGATTGTAAGCTTCTAAATGGCCCAGGCCAGACTCAGGCCATTATTAATGTGGCATAAAGGGAGGGTCAGACTTCCCAGCCAGCCCAGCCTTTGTTCTAGCTGGCTTCGTGACCGTAGGCACATTGTTTTACTTCCCTAGACCTTAATTTGCTCATCTGTAAGACTGAAGATTACACTCAACTCCCAAGATTAAAAGAGAACTCAAGAGGGTCCCTCGAATACAGGAAGTACCAAAATGGTGCCTGGCCTTTCCCTCCTAAACGAAAGTCCTGGGGTTCATGTCAACCTGGCCACACTTGTCCGTTGTCCAGTGAGAGCGTACAGAGGTTCCAACCGCAGGTGATGTAGTCACACACACTTCTCTCATGTGATCCCCATCCCAGGACATGGACCTGGCATTAGTTTCTGTTTTCACTGCTGTGACCACAGTCATGACATCAAGCTACTTGAGAGAGGAGAGACATGTGTCGTTTTATGATTTGAAGGCCCAGTCTGCTATGGTGGCATGATCTGGAACAGGCGGCTACTTGCTCACATCTGGGGGAATCAGGACGCAGAGGGGGGACAGGAAACAGTACCATAAGCCTCAAGAATCCTCCCTCAAAAACACTCTTCCACCAGCTGACAACCCTCAAAAGCATTGCGTGTGGGGAACATTTCTCATCTATGACAGGCCTGTCTAGCACTCTCTCCAGGCAGGGAGCTTTCTCCTCTCTGATCTTGATGACCCAGCATCCTCATCCTGGATTTTGCGTGTAGGTGGGAGCCTTCGACTCTGCCATGGGTGCGAGGGAAGGTGGTGAACACAGGGAATTGTCTCCATAATCGCCTAAAGCAGTGGTTTTCAACCTGGGGGTTAGACGACCCTGTCACAGGGGTCACCCGAGACCGTCAGAAAACACAGGATTTCCATTCCAGTGCACAACAGTGGCAACATTCCAACTGTGAAGAATGGTGTGGTTGGGGTCACCACGACATGAGGAACTCTCGAGAACATTGGTCCAGAGCTTGTGCTTTGTGAATGATGGGTGTTTGGAATACGAGAGTCCAGGCTCTTATCACAGCTCCATCCCTGTGCGATCTGCAACCTAGCATATGTTACCTGCCCGTTTTTAGTTGGTTTGGTAATTTATATGATGGGAGTTATAATTCCTTTCTTGGTTACCTGCATGGGCTAATGACAGGTCCTGTTAAGTCCTATATGTAAACATTGTACTCTGGGAGGGACCTTATAATGGTAGGAATTAAAGAGGCAGGACATCCAGATGTGGGCACCCTGGGCATCCAGATGTGGACCATCCCAGGCAGATTCACTCAGTACTGGTTACATGAGTGCCAGAGATTCCATGTGGGTGTCCTGAGGACCGAGTGGACATCATCACCCTCTCTCCTGTTCTCTGAGGTCACTCCAGAGAGGGAACTGAAGCAGAGCTTAAGAAACTGCTCTGTGAGGAGCTGGAAGTTAATCGCTGAACCATGATTACTAAACAGCATGCAAGGGAAGCCACGGAGCAAAGTTCTACCCTGCCACAAATTAAAAATGTCTCTCACCTCGGTTCTTGGTGCATAAATCCCAAGAGCTAGTTACCCTCTTAATGTCAGGAAGAGAGTAGGAGCAGCAGTTGTGTGAGACATGGCCCTGAGCCTCTACACCATCCTCTCTGGCCTGTGACTTCCCGATGACTTGAGTTTGCCACTCTGCCAAGTGATAGCTTGCCTGGAGCCCCAACTCTGGGCAGTTTAATTACGTCTCTCCGTCAGAAAGACCTATGCCTGGCCCCTGAGCACAAGCCAAGAGAGTAGTACCACCTGAGGGAAGGGTCCCAAGGTCCTGGGCTGTAGACCCCTCCTCATCATGGTCCTCCAAGCCTCAATCCTCTTCTTACTTCACACACACACCCCCGGTTTAGTTGGGTATCTCCTACCCCTTAACTATGGCTCTCAGCTCCTCTTCTGCCCGTGGCCTCTGATGTCACTCATTCTCATAAGCCCTGTCTCCCCTCATCAGACCTGACAGGCTATGTTTCCCGTCAGGATAGCCAGCCTCATTCCTCCTAAGATTGCTAACCAGGCCCCGTAATTGCTCATCTGACAGTTGTGTGTCTGTGTTGTTCCTTGGACACTAGGCTGGGTGGGGCGGGGGGAGGGGTCTTCCAGCCCTGGCTTTGACTCAGCAATGTGCTGACTTGTTGTGTTACAAAGGGATGGGCTTGGCCAGTGGCAGGGCTGGGTTGGGGGCTCAAATAGCCCTGAAGAAGTGTGCAGGTTTGCCCAAGGCCTTCACACAAATGTACAGTCTTAGCAGAAACAGTGATCGTGTTTCATGAATGAAACTTTAAAGCAATCACTTGGCCTCTCTTCAAAGCTCAAGTCTTAACTACTGGTGGAAACATTGCAGAGTAAAGCTCCAGCCTCAGTTTCTCCCAGCAAGGGGGTCCATGCAGCCATGCCAGGCCATCTCTGGGATAGGGACCTTGATCACTTTGTTATTTTGGCGTCTGCCAGGTTTCCTCACCTTAAATCTATGTTTTCATTTTTGAGTTTGTTGTTATTTGTGGGGGAAGGGTTCTAGACTATGCTAATGGGCTTTTCCTCACCGAACCTCCACTGTGAGAGTTAGCATGCATTGGTGATTTCTGCAAGAGTCAGCTGTGTCTGCAATGGTTGCCAAGGGTGATTTGTCATCTCCAGCACTCCCCCATGTATAAGCTGGCATTCTCCTTCCAGGAAGAATGTACCTCCTGCTTGTGCTCACTTACAGTAGGAAACACTCAGAGACTACTTTTGTGTTCAGTATGTTGACATGGTGTATCTGTGTTTGTTGTGATGTTCGGATTATGCTCACTGGAGATTCTGTAGTCTTGTGTTTCATCATTTATTGAGCATTCCCTCCTTTTTCTTTTCTTTCTTTCTGTTTTTTTTTCCACGATATGTTCCAGGTTCGTCTCATACTTTCTCTAAACTAGTTCATCCTTTCTTTGAATACTCAGTGTTATTTTCTCCTTCCACAACTGTATATTTAAGGG